CCCCCCCCCCAGTCAGTAATGCTGTGATGTGATTGGAGGGAGGTAAGACTGGAGGCGGGGAGACCAGATGGAAGGATATTGTAACAATTCATCAGCTGCATTGGTAGCTAGGGGAAGGGGACAAGGGGACAGACTTAGGCGCATGAGTCCATGACAGTGGTAGATTATATGCGGAGAAGGAGGAGGAAGGGTGATCAGCAGGGAATCAGCGTTTCTAGTGTAAGCAGCGGTCAGGGAAGGAGGAGGTTAGGGTTGTGGTGGGGTCTGTTTTGAATTTAGTTTTTTTAGTCCTCACCTGAGGATATTTTTCCATTGCTTTTAGGTAAAGTGGGAGGGAGGGAGGGCAAAGGAGGGGAGAGAGAGAGATCGATGTGAGAGACAAATCTGTTGTTTGCCTCCCAAAAGTGCCTGACCAGGGCCAGGAACAAACCAGCAACCCAGGTATGTGCCCTTGACCGGGAATCAAACCCGCAGTCCTTCGGTGCACAGGCTGATGCTCTGCCCATTGAGCTGCACCAGCCAGGGCTTGAATTTAGTTTTAAGCACTGAGGGTCACCTTCGTGGAGTTGGCCTCAGAAGTTTCTTTTAGGAGATAATGGGTTATTGAAGAGATATGCCTCAAGTTGTCACCCAAAATCTTTAGTGAATTGCTGTGAACTTTTCATTTCTTAAATTTTGTGTACTTTGTGTGTGGCCAATTTTTTTTCTTATTCTTGGCTTGTCATTTTCATTTTATTGAGAGGAACTTATTGTGGCACAAGGTGGTGGGAACAGGGAAGGAAAGGATCAGCTCAGTTGGCAGAAATGCTCAAAACAGTAGAAAACATCAAAGTGGCTTTTGCCGTGTCATTTGTTTTAATAATAGTTTTGACTGTCTTGTAAAAGGTTATGTTGTAGTGTGGTGGGCATGATGGTAGATGTAATGACAGCATCTCATAATTAGCACTTTTGACATTAAAGCTTGTCATTCTAAGAAGGTAGTTTTGTTATTACAGTTTGCCAATCTAAAAACTGACACGTGACTGAGTGCATTCCATGAGACATTTTAGGGCTATTCGTTTTCTGTTAGATGGTCTCTGTTTGATTTACTAGAGCCATCATTAGATGGAAAGGTACAGCTGGTATTAATAATGTATATTTTGAGGAAGTCAACTGTATCCTCAGGTTTTTAAGTCTTTCTATGTCAATTTTTCTTTTTTCAGAGTTAAAGTAAAAACAGAATCTCAGGACCCCACATCTTCATGGAGATCACTTATTCCAGTCATAAAGGTCAATGTGAGCACAGTAAGTGATTCTGCTACAATTAATGTTTAGTGGGTTAACAATGAAACATTTTATTTTTGCAAACATTTTCACTTAAGAAAAGAAAGTAATTTTGTAGTTTTTTGGGTTCCAGTTTTCATAAAGTGTGAAAGAATTATTTTAACACCAATACAATTTTAGCACAAATTTATTAGACCTGAAAGGCTATTTATTCACAAGTACTTAAATCTCCTTAAACCCAGGTCTAAATTGATCAGTGGAGTAATTTAAATACAGACAGTGCTAAAGTAGAATCATGTTGCTTGAAAATGTTTGTTATTAGGTCAGCTAAGGAAAAAAGTATAGCCTGAATAGTATGGCACAATATCGCTTATCTTTTTGTAGGGTCGCCTGGCCTTTGGAAATCATTACCAACCTCAGACTCTGTGTATCAACTTTGATGATGCTTTCTTAACTTATACTACAAAACCACCTTCCAGTCATCTTGACCAATTCATGCATATTGTGAAAGGAAAGCTTGAAAATGTTCGAGTCATGCTTGTTCCTAGTCCAAGATATGTTGGTCTTCAAAATGATGAGTAAGAACATCTTACATATGTCTAATAAAGATATCAATTAGATCTTTAGCATCCTTTTAATTTCTGTTACAAGTTGGGCAATAAGTAGGTATATTTCTCTATTAAATCAATTAATAGTGCAGTCCTGCTTTATAAGATAATTAGATATGCTATCCATTGGTAAACTCTACTTTTAAATATTTTTCTATAAGATTATGACTATAATTTTTTTTACCCTTTTCTTCTTCTTACTGTATTTGGGAAACTCATTTTGGGCAGTTAAGCCCTGGTATTTCATGTTAGAAAATGCACATTACAGGTAGGTTTTTATTTATAAAAGGGATGGATAAATAGTAAATTCAACAAATTCATTATAGTGGAGTGCCATTCTGAATTAATGAGAAGTTGAAAATGGAATCAGAATTACCCTTGGACAGCTGTTGAAGTTAGGATAGCCCAGTTAGGATGGAATTTGCTTGACATTCAAGTCCTGGGCAGTTTTCCTACTAGCTTTCCAGATTTTTCTTTTGTCTGTGAAGTGGCTGCTTGCATTCAGGAGACAAGGAGTATTAGTGACCCACTCTGGACTTGCCCTCATGATGGTGGGATGCTTCCATACAAGGGACTGGGATGCTGAGGGAACTCCAGGGCATGCCTTCATGGTGGGTTGCGGGCTCACAATGTCTACTCTTTTTGTGAGGAGACTGTTGTTGAATTTGTGTAATTTAGCATTCATAGGATGAGATTCCACTATGTCCCAGCATGTATCTTTGTGTTTAGGCAACATAAAGTCTATGAGGTCATGAGAAGCATGATTATTCCTTTTTAGTGCCAACTTTTAAAAAAAAAAGTCTTTATTAATTTTAGAGAGAGAGGAAGGGAGAGGGAGAGAGAGAAAGAAACATCGATGAGAGAGAAGCATCAATTGGATGCCTCCTGCATGCCCCCTACTCAGGATCGAGCCCACAACCTGGGAATGTGCCCTGGGACTGGAAATTAAACCAATGACCTCTTGGTGCGTGGGACTATGTTCAACCAACTGGACCACACTGGCCAGGGCTTTAGTTCCAACTTCTTGCTTTTAGATTTTCTGAGGACTGGCTGGAGTGGTAGAGAGGTTTCCCTCTGGAACCCCAATGATCTGCCTGGGCTCACTCTTCAGGATCAGGGGCTTTGCTCAACACATAATGCTGCATTTATGGCTAAAATTTGAATACTGCATGAATAAATAAATCTAGATTTTGTGAAAATTGCTTAAGAGAAAGATGAAAAACTGTTCTATTAATTTGTATAAAAAGATTTTAGATTTTATTTTTTACTCTTCAAAAGTGTGAAGATTCAATGATGAGATTAAACATTAACCTTAAGATTTAATACATTTTAAGAAGAATGCTAAACTTGTGTGAGTAAGTAATGATTGAGAAGTTAATTTTGATGTGGATGGAAGATATTGTGGTATATGACAAAGCAAAAAGTTAAAGCAATGAAAATTTAACGTTTTGTGGGAAAGTGATTGTAGAGAAACAGTCAATCCAGAATTTGAGTTCAAGGTGTTTGCTTTAAATTTGGTTCAAGTTGATTAAAGAAATATTCTTGGAAATAGGTAACGTAAAGTTGTTAACAAAAATAACATTTTTTCTTATTTAATGTTTCTGAAAGCTTATAGTACTTTTATTTTACAGATATATAAAATGACATTTCTTATTCAGTTTTGTAGTGTTATTAATAGAAAATGATTGAATTTTAAGTTTAATTTTAAATTTATTGTTGTAAATATAGAATATAATTATTCTATTCTGATGAACATTGTTTTTCCATTTTATTTAATTAAACTTTGCCTTAAGTGGATTTCTCTTATTCACAACTTTAAACAAAAAATGTGAGACAATTTTTTTGTTTTTTTCTATTGAATTAATTTACTGATTAAAAAAATTTCAGTACCATTTTATTATTTAGTCTAATATAGAATACAACTATGGAATAATTTATTGTCTGTGAAAGATGTCTTCCCTTTTTAAGATGCTACACTTGATGCTTTTTTTGTTTTCACCTGTCACCACCATTAATTAGAACACTGAATATTTTATATTCTGGAGATGTACTTAGTTTGCCTTGCCCCTCCTTATAGACCACCGAGATTAATGGGAGAAGGCTTTGTGGTGCTGCAGTCAAATGATGTTGATATCTACTACTACATGGATGAGCCAGGTAGGACTTTTTGAAAGTATAGTTCATAGGTGCCATTCTGTTTCTTCTTTGAAATGGGATATTAGTAATATTTTAAGTCTCTTTACTTAGGATATTAATAAGCATCAATAAATGGTAAATGTGGATGTAAGAGTGCCTGCCTAAAAATACCTAAAAAATACCTGTGTCATTGTCAAAGTTGAATATGACTTTAATATTTCAGACCAAGAGAAAACGATGTTGTAACCTTTCCTTCAAATTCTATTTTATCAAATATACTTCAAAAATTGTGAATGCAAATGACCATGAGTAAAAACCTTTGAGAATATGGTGATGGTTAAGGTAGTTCATGTTAGTTAGAAGAAAAATTCACAGTGTGTTAGACTTGAGGTTTACCGTTTCAGGATTAAAATCCAGCCACCATGCTTCATGGGTGGTTTCCATTTTATAAAAGTTGCTAAACATTGGATTTGGCCCCCTTTTTCTTAGTTCTTATGTCTTTATACCTTTCAGGGGGTTAATGAGGTCAGAGTATTTTAAAAATAAAAGTAGGATGCTGTTTGCCTTTTTCACTTTGTTGATGTTTGCACTGATGGTGTCAAACAATGGTGGGTGAAATTGCTGGTGCTTGAGCAGCAATCCAGGCAGTGGCTGCTAACTAGAGGAGGAGTCCCTGCTGTCACTGCCGCATGTTCACAGTAAAACACGTGTCAGCATCCTTTGATGAAGCATTAAAAGTTATTTCGATCAAATCTGACCCTTAGTAAACTTTCTAATATTCAGTGTGATAAAGTAGCAGTTGTATATACAGGTTTGGAGGAAGCATGTGTGTTACTGAGTTCCAAGATGAACAGATATTGGCTTTTTTTGTGGAACACCAATTTTACTTGAAAGGGTAGCTAGGGACAGACTGTGGTTTTGAGCTTTCATGTGAAAATTAGGATTTTGAAAATTTTGGGTCTGCACCTGTGTGTTTGGTGATTTTTCTGATAAGACCACCAGTGATATTAACAAATGTGATTTTTAAAATGTTTAATAATGAAATTTATTAATACTTGAAAAAGTATGCATGTCTTATCTTAGTGAACCTATATTTTCCAAATGACCAATGCATGATGTTACAGAGTCAGACAGTGGGTACAAGATTTATTCAAAGTACAAGAGAGATAGAAAATTTTAATGTAGCAGGGTACTAGAAGTTCAGTGACATGGTTTCAGATTCCACGTTGTAACTAACCTTTAAGAAACTACTACTCGTTGAATTTTGGTGTAGTGTCAAAGAAGAATATCCAGAATTATCAAAAAAAGCGATTAAAATACTCCTCCCTTTTCTATCCACCTGTTTGTATGAGGTTAGGTTTTCTTCAAATCCTTGAACAACAGATTTAATACAGAAGCAGCTGTGAAAATTCACCTGTTTTCTATTAAGTTGGACATTAAAGAGATTTGCCAAAATAAAAACAATGCCAACACATCTCAAAAAATTAATTTATTTTAGAAAATATGGTTATTTTTCATTAAAAATTAAATTAAAATTTTATCTTTTATTAAAATAGTTATTTTTCATATCATTTTCATTAAACTTTATTAAACATTTATTACATCAACATATAATGGGTTTATTATTTAAAAAATAAAATTTAAAAAATTACTCAATTTAAATTTTGAATAAAGTAAATTATGATAGAGATAATACAAAAATACCCACTTTAGGGTTCTCAATAATTTTTAAGAGTGTAAAGTGTTCCTGAAATCAAAAAAATTTTAGAACTTCTGATCTAAAGGAACATTTTAATGATTAAGTAATGGCCTTTGTGTTGTATATTCTGCAATGCAGGACTTGTTCCAGAAGAAACAGAGGATAACATTGAAGGAGAAATGAGCAGTGAGGATTGCAAATTACAAGATTTGCCTCCATGTTGGGGACTGGATATAGTTTGTGGTAAAGGAACAGATTTCAACTATGGGCCATGGGCTGATAGGCAAAGGTACTTGAATAAATTATATTTCTAATAAGTCTTTCAAATGTATTGATCTAATACTATAATTTTTATTAAAACTAGCTTAATAGTTTTCTAAGCTCTTTTGTTATGGCAGGGTAAGATACCCTGGACATTTTAATCCAAACGATAACTTGTTTATAGAGAAATTAGTTTAAGCAAGTTCACTGCAAAGGAGGAGTTAATTCATTAGAAAAATGGTAAATGAGCAGCACATTTATTGGTTCCTTTGTTTTTCCTTATGTATTTAATCAACAATTATGCCAGCTATAGTTGGGGTGATGCAGATTTAGAGATAAAGGATAATTAGTTTTATTGGAGGAAAAAGAAACAAAGAGGTTTATTACTGCTATAATAGGGGTAAGTAAAAACTCTTGAAAAACTTATAAAGGTACTGACTTGGTTTGCTAAGGCTTCCTTAACAAAGTACTACAGACTGTGGCTTAAACAACAAATTTCTCACAGTTCTGGAGGTTAAAATTCTGAGATCAAAGTGTTGGCAGGGCTGCTTCCTTCTGAGGGCCTTGAGTGAAGAATGTGTCTGAGGCCTTTCTCCTTGGCTTGTAGACAGCTGTCTTTTTCCTGCATCTTCGCGTGGTCTTCCCTTTTGTGAGTCTTGTAGGTCTCTGTGTCGAAATTTCCTCTTCTTAGAAGAACACCAGTCATGTTAGATTACACCAAAAACACCTGACTTTAGCTTAATTACCTTTGTAAAGGTAATTGCCTTCAAATATGATCAAATTCTGAGGTTAGGACTTCAAAATAAGAATATTTAGAGGAACACAATTCAGCCCATAAAAGGTACATAAATCACATTAAAGATTAAAGAAGAAAAGAATGGGGGAGACATGTGAGTTGAATTTTGGAACATAGATAGGAGTTAGCCACGGGAGGAAAAATTTTAAACAAAGGAGAGGACATTTACCAGTAATGAAAACACATCCAAATTTTTATGTAAATACACATCGCCTTAAGTTAGTTTAACAACTTTGCCATTTGGGCAATTGATATACTTGTAGAAAGTCTTTCACTTCTCATGGTAGAAACAGTCTTTTGTTTTACTGAGAGGAAATTATAATAGGTGTTTGTGACTTAATTTTTTTCTGTTTTGTCTATTTGTTAGATAAGATAGCAGTGATAATACATATAAATACTGATTTTGGTCCCTAGTCAGAGATCATTTTGTTGGAATAACATGTCATTGTTCTTTCTACCTTCTTACATAGAGATTGTTTATGGAAGTTTTTCTTCCCACCTGATTATCAAGTTCTGAAAGTTTCTGATATTGCACAGCCAGGGAGACCAAGACAGATCCTTGCCTTTGAACTACGAATGAATATTATTGCAGATGCTACAATCGACTTGCTGTTTACCAAAAATAGGGTAATTATTAAAATAATATGGAGAAAATAGTGCTTAAAATTTGAACATTATTTTCCAGAGCATTTTTCTGGTGACTAGTCCTATACTCAGATTCACTTCTATGAATTTCCTGCCACCCCATCCCCAATAATGTTACTTTCATTAAGTGCCAAATAGTAGACAGAAATTGATAAATAATAACAAGCCTTTATACTATAGTCTGGTTCATTTTTTCCTTTATATTTGCCCAAATTGTTTTGGTGTATTTTTTGTTGTTGTTGTTAACCCTCACCTGAAGATATTTTTTCCATTGATTTTTAGAGTGGAAAGGAGGGAAGGAGGGAAGGGGAGAGAGAGAGAAACATCCATTTGAGAGACACATCTATTGGTTGCCTCCTGCATGCGCCCTGACCAGGGCTGGGAATTGAACCTAAACCCAGGTACATGCCCTTGACCGGAATCAAACCCAAGATCCTTCATTGCGTGGGCCGATGCTCTAATCCCTGAGAAACACTGTCCAGGGCAAGTTCTTAGGAACTTTGAATACCCATTTAATATCATTGCTGATTATATTTTGTCTGTGATAATAACTAAGAGGTAAAGATGGGAATGTAATTATAATGAATGTTTTACGTGACTTACTTTTTTTGGGGGGGGTAGGAAACAAACGCTGTACATGTCAATGTTGGAGCTGGCTCCTATTTGGAAATCAATATTCCCATGACAGTCGAGGAAAATGGTAAGCTGCAGCGAGTGCTTCTTTGTTCCAAATGATTAGTAGGGAAATACTATATAAACAGTAGTTTGTTAACCCATTTAAATTAGCATTAATTAATGGGGTTTTCTTTTTCAGCTTTTTATTATATTTTGATGTACCTGTAGTTATCAATAATAAATATTATATAATTAAATCATTTGTGCAGCGAGAGAGAAAAAAATTCTTTAAATCAAGTTAAGTCTTATAATTAAATGCTTTCGTTATACCCTATAGTTCTCTTTTGTAAGTGAGCATACTTTGCTTAGCCTATGTTTTTCCTGTTTCTCCATGAGAGCAGGTGCTGTGCCTTTCTTTTCACTGTGTCTTTCTGATGCCGAATCCAGTACCTGGTTCGTGGTACATGGCCAGTTACATTAGTAGATTTTTTTGTCAGGGAGTAAACTGGGTACTTTGAACAGCAAAACTTTAAGAAAGGAAAACGTTTCATATTTCAAATATTAAATAATGTCCTAATAGCTATAGTTTCATCTGAGCTGAAATAATATAATTTATTATGCATATGAAATTTGGGCTCTGATAAAAGTTAGTCAAAAACATGATGAAATACTTTGTGTTACATTCACCAAAATATTATATAGCTTTCTTCATTTTTTCTTCTTCTCATCTTCTTATTACACTTGTAATTGAGAGCAGTTAAAATGAAATTCTGCTCTATTTATTCACTTTCTTGAGCATGCAGAGAATAGCAACTTACCCATATTTTTAAATCACTGACCAGCAATATTATGATTGCTAAGTAGAGAGTAATTTTTATACCATTTTGGTTCTCTATGCTTGTTCCTGCCACTCACTTTGTTGCTGGTATCAGAAGAAAGTAGGTTGAGGGGTGACTGAATTCACTGGGTCCATAAAGTGGGAGCAGTCACGGCTGCCTGCTGAGATAATCAGCTGAAAAAGTGACTGAGACGCCAGAGTGCGTCTTTTCCCTGTAACTTCAGGGCTGTTTTAGTGAAGAACAAAACTTTATTTTAGCTCGTTCTAAAAGAGTAATCCTACTGTGTCTTGAGGCAGGTTCTCCAGTATGGGTAGATTCAGCATAATCAGTTGGAAAGAAGCATCTTTTAGGACAGCCTTAATTATCAGTCTGTACTGGGGAGAAGGCAATTGGGGTTTGCACAAAAGTGAGAATGGTTCATTTGAGGGAGTGCTGCTACCATTTTTAAACTGATGATGCACATGGGAAGTAAGATTTGTACAAACAATTTGTACACAGTTATTGGTGCACTGAGGAAGGGGCCACCTGAGGGCTGGGGATCGGGAGCACACCTATTAGGAATTCATGGGAAATGCCCCAGCACACTGATTGTGGAACTCGGAGTGAGGGAAGGGTCTAAGGAAAGCCCTCTCAGATCCTTGGTCAAGGTGACGTGGCTTTTAAGATGACTGTCTGAGGGGAAAGAGGCTTAGGTCTGAGACAAGAGCAAAATAGATGTAATACACGTAAAACTTTTTTTCAGAGGTTCAGGTGTTTGGAAAAATAAAACCTAGAGCAGGATGCATGTTGGAGTAGCCATATGATAATGACCACAGAGTTTGTGCTCCTGGAAGGCAGCCCATCTAGAAAAGAATGGAAATACTCTGAGCTGCTGCTTTTGTTCAGAATGGGCTGTGTGGTTTGGTGTAACTGTCACTGTGTAAGGAAGAGCTATTGTGTAGAATTTGTCATTGCATGAGGAGTCAGTGGAAGAAAAGACATGGGAGCCATCTGTCATTTAGAGAACAGACCTGTAGTTTTGCACTGGAAAGTAGAGTCATGATAGCCATTATACGAAGATAGAACTTCCTTCAGAGGTGTTCAGTTGAGAAAGGTCACCTATTTGGTAGGAAGCTCCCTCCCCATCATTGGGGTATATTAAAAAGTGACTGATCACCTCGTTTCAGGGATTTCTTCTTTGGGTGGTAGTGAGAGTTGTTTCCAGTAGATTCTTAATTTTTATGTTTTCACTTATTAGGTTACACCCCTGCAATTAAAGGACAACTCTTACATGTTGATGCTACTACCAGTATGCAGTACCGGACCCTTTTAGAAGCAGAAATGTTAGCAGTAAGTCTGGGGTATTTGATGATATGCATAGGTGCATAAAATACAAATTTGGTTTTAATTTTTTAATATAAAAAATTTTAATGACCAGGAAGTCATCAAATGGTCCATCATGCTCAAAAACCACCAGGTGCTCTCGATCCAGCTTTGGGAAGAGGAGTAGATTCCCAGTGCCATGGTCATCCTGCCATCCCCTGTTGCTCTGTTCCTAGTATGGGGGATGTGAATATAAGTCAATCAGATATGGGGTTTTGGCCTTTAAAAATATGAACAGTTGTTAGAATATTGCTTTTAAACTTCATTGTATGGCTAGACTAACTCTCTCCAATGTTGTAAATAAGATTTTTTTACTGCATGTTTTCTGGTCCCACCGGATTCTTTCTCAGGGCTTAACAATTCATTCTGCTTTTTACTTGATGAATAAGGTGAAAGGAATTGCTCCATATTCCAGAGAGAAGTAGTACGGGACTGCTCATGACCAAAATTTCAGATCGGGGACTCAGTAATCAGGCAGATTATTATTTTTTGTTAGGCTTAACAACAATAACAACAATAATAGAAGCCTCACTGAGAATGGCTGATATTCAGACAGGGATCTTTTATATAGTATTATACCAGTAGGTCCTTAATTACTTGCTTAAACAAGCTATTTACACATGAAGTATATGTAAATTAAGAGGAAAATTTTGCACTTAACCAAGAGTATACTGAGTTCCATAAATGCATATTCAACTGGCATATTCAGCATTTTAATGATTCCTGAGCTCTAATTGATAAGTACTGCTGTGCAAATGCTAATCCTGGTCAGGCAGCTTTTGCCTTTGCAGAATTATCCAGGTTTAGCAGGAAGAATACAGGCCTGTAGTGACTGTGCTTTCAGATGGGAACCCAGGAGGCTCTGGGGCCAGACTTGTGCATGACAGTATGTGTTGCACGCACCCTGTGCCTGAGCCTCTCACTGACCAGGTCGGGCCTGCAGAAGAGTTAAGGGTGTTGCTGTTACTCTGAGGTTAGTTCGAATACAGTATTGAAACTAACCTGATTGATGTTCCTCAAGTTTTTGACCACATCATGGCTCAGTACCTCAAGGAACTGGATGTAATCAAGGATAATGACCTTTAGCTACAGCAATATTAAAATCTCAAAGGGACCTTCTCTTCTGCTTAGCAGGAAAATATGTGTTAATTACTCACCAGTGTATGTAGGTTGATTTCTGATGCTCTTCACACAGGGTCACATTTTAAGCTCTAACATTTTGACTTGACATTGGTTTTCAGTTCCACATCATTGCCAGCTACCCCCGAGTATGGAACATGCCCCAGACATGGCAGTGTGAATTAGAGGTGTATAAAGCCACCTACCACTTCATCTTTGCACAGAAGAACTTCTTCACAGGTAATTTTCTAATGAACACAAATGCAGTGAGATTCATCACAGGGAACTGCTTTCCCAGTGAGTTTTGCTTTTAGATTCAACCTGGGGATTTGATAACACAATTCAAACTTCCTTGTTTTCACACTTTTTGGGCCAAGAAGATAAAGGAAAAATTTAAATATAGGTATGTTATGCTTTCTTCTTACCCAAAAAAGGAAAAAACCCAGAATTGAGCTGAGAGGAAATAAAAGAACCTGTCTTAGGCTGGGCTGATGTTTTGATTCAGTCCAGTAGGGAGTATAATGGGAAAGGTGAATCAGTTTCTTTCTCTTCCTGAGTTAAGCATCAGCATGACTTCATGATTTTTTTTTTAATTACTATAATCCACAAACAGTATATTCAAATAGTCAAATATGTTATGTTTGTGTGCAGGGGCCCCTACTTTCCCCTTGACATGGATATTTGTGTTGATGCTGTCATTCATCAGAAAATTTCTTCATTTCTTGCAGCATATTATGATAGTTACTCATATTTCATGAGTATGGAAACATGTAGTCTTGGTCTCTGAGTAACATAAATATTACCACATAAAAACAAGTAACATTTATTGAGACACTTCCTGTGACAAGTTTAGCCAAACAGAGTTGGTCTGATTTGCGAGAGTCGGTGGCTCTCCCAGAGCACCTAATATTTGCTTGACTGATTGCTACAATCATCCACACATCCATCAATCCACCCTTTCATCCCTCCATCCCTAGTCAGTGCAAGAGACATTTAAGGACAATTATTTGGCTTTGGACCCTGTGCTCTCTCTATTGTATGATGCTGTTATTAAAGATAATTAGAGTTTTCCTTCAGAAGAGAGGATACCAAAGAGTATATTTATTTATTTTTATTTTTTAATATGTTTTTGATTTCAGAGAGAGGAAGGGAGAGGGAGAGAGAGCTAGAATCAGTGATGAGAGAGAGTCATTGATCAGCTGCCTCCTGCATTCCCCCCTACTGGGGATCGAGCCCGAAACCTGGGCATGTGCCCTGACTGGGAATTGCACCCTGACCTCCTGGTTCATGGGTCGATGCTCAACCACTAGCTATGCTGGCCAGGCAAGAGTGTATTTATTTTACATAGGATGAATAGTTTGAGTAAAAGTGCAGAATCAAAAATGTTTCTGAGAAAAGTGATAAAATCAGCTTGATGAATGATGAATTTGTATTGTGGAGTTGGTTAGTTCCAAAGATGGCTTTTGGGCATCTCCCAAGTGCAAGACATTTTGCTAAAGAATAAAACTAGAAAGTAGGGTTGCTGTCTGGTTAGTTATGTAAGGTGGCATGTAGAAGTAAGTATAGATACTATAAGGTATGGTGAACCACTGTGATTGCATGTTAAATGAAATAAAAATATACTTAAGGAAAATTTTTTTATTTATAAAAAGTATTTTTTAAATTTATTTTTTGTTAATCCTCACTAGAGGATATTTTTTCCCCATTGATTTTTAGAGAGAGAGGAAGGGAGGAATGAGAGAGAGAGATATCAATTGGTTGTTTCCTGGCATGCACACTGACCAGGGCCAGGGATCAAACCTGAAACCCAGGTATGTGTTCTTGACCGAGAATTGAAACCCGAGACCCTTCAGTGCGTGGGCGGACACTCTAACCACTAAGCCACACCAGCCAGGGCTATTTAAGGTAAAATTGATAAGTGGAATTTTCCTTTCTCTATTCATAGACCAGGTTAATAGCCATATGCCTTTCATTGTTGACATAGTAAAGCTCTACATCTTATTAATATTAATTTAAATCATTATAACTTTTGATATTTAATGTATTATTTTATTAAGAAGAATTTCTAATATCTTGCACAAACTTCTGTACATTGAAGCTAAATTTTAAATGAGTTAATATATGTAAGATAAATTTGACTTCTGATGTCATTGAATCTGATACTTTTTAATATAAATTTCCATTAAAATTTAAAACTACTTTAAATATTTAATTATTTTTTACTATTATTTTCATTAGAATATCTTTAATGATAGAAGGTAGCATTTGTGGATTGCCTACTATATGGCAGTCACTGTGCTAAAGCTTCACGTGTTTCACCTCACTCACATTAAATCTGTGACGTTGTCCCCATTTTGTAAAAGAGAAAACTGATAGCATTTGAGTCATTTGTTCAAGATTACATAGCTAGTAAAGTGAGAAAGCCAGAATTTAAGCCAGGACTCTTTGGTGTCAAAGTCTGTGCTTCCTATACTGCTTCCAGTTGGTCCTCTCTCTCAAGTGCTCAGAGTTCTGATTTTCTATGCATAGCACTCCGTTATGAACGGTGAGTACAAAGACGAGCTTGGTGAGCACCTCTAGGAGGAGGCTGGTCATTGGAGGACCTCACTGCTGGGGTATACAGTGGATGTGAATGATGTGGATGCCAGACAGAAAAGGAGAGGAAACCACTGTGATAGACCAGGGCTAACATCTTCTGTAAAGAGCTTTTACCTATTGAGGTTTTAAAAAAATAAAGATACCAAAGGATCAGAACACTAAGTATAGGAACACAATTTTGAAAAGCAACAACCAGACCAAATCAGTAGTACAATAATCAGCAATCAACAAGGATGACTAACAGTAAATTAGAAGCCAAGTCTGCATTTTGTTCACCAGAATCTAGAACAGAGTCTGACACACAGTAGACACTGTGGGTATTTGTTTAATGAATAAAACAAAAGGAAAAGTGGTCAACCCTATTGTACTTAAGAAATTCTATTAAATGAGATGCCATCTTCCAGTCAGCAGTTATCAAGCTGCGCCCCCCCCCACCCTTCCTCCCAAAAAGACAGAGACAGGGAGGGAGAGAGAGAGGTAGAAAGAAATATACAAGAGAGGATACAATGAAATAGCTAAGCTTACATTTCTGGTAGCAGGATGTAAGATGGTGTAAAAATCTACATAGAAAAAAAACTAGAAGGAAACGTATCCTCAGTGTTGGCTGTTTGGATAGTGGAATATCACGTGATGTTTTTCTCTTTAATCTACAGTTTCTTTAAAAAATTATGAAGTGCATAAATTTTTTCTTATTTGGAATTGTGATTACTAAGTAAACATCTGTTTGCTATTAAATCATTTAGCTATATCTTAATCACCTTTTAATATTTCATTATAAAAGTTCTTTTTAGTTATAAATGAAAAATTCATTTTTGACTGGTGTTAGAATCTTTACATTTTGTTTTCTGAACTTCAAATAATTTTAATTTCTCTCTCCCATCCTGATAATTTTAGATTTAATTCAAGACTGGTCTAGTGATAATGCTCCAGACATTTTTTCATTTGTTCCATATACATGGAATTTTAAAATCATGTTTCATCAATTTGAAATGATTTGGGCTGCTAATCAACACAATTGGATTGACTGTTCGACTAAACAACAGGAAAATGGTAAGAACTTTTAGAAAATTAGGTTCACTATTTTGTTCATTACGACAAATACCAGCAATTTGATATTGATTGTATAGTTGTAATAGATACTGGACTTGAACTTTTTTCCATTATTTTGTGATAATCTCAGAGAAGTATTTCAGAGTTTGTATTGGACTAAACATATAGATTTAAACTTAATTTTGTTTAGGTGTGTATTTAAGGCAATTTTTATTTAAAAATTTATTGAAGTTAAAAGTAAATTTCTTTTTTTTCTTTTTTGTAGTATACCTGGCAGCCTGTGGGGAAACACTGAATATTGATTTCTCTTTGCCGTTTACGGACTTTGTTCCAGCTACATGCAATACCAAGTTCTCCCTCAGAGTACGTATAGTTGGATGCATTGTTTATTCCACAAGGTTTGTTAGTAAGTTGGATTTCCCAAAGCTTATCTTTATTCTCACCCCTAAACCTTACCCCCTCACT